CACGCTGAGCCCTGACCCTGGTCACAGGCTGAGCCCTGACCCTGGTCACAGGCTGAGCCCCGACCCTGGTCCCACGCTGAGCCCCGACCCTGGTCACAGGCTGAGCCCTGAGCCTGGTCCCACGCTGAGCCCTGACCCTGGTCACAGGCTGAGCCCTGACCCTGGTCCCACGCTGAGCCCTGAGCCTGGCCGCACGCTGAGCCCTGACCCTGGTCACAGGCTGAGCCCTGATGCTGGTCACACGCTGAGCCCTGACCCTGGTCACAGGCTGAGCCCTGACGCTGGTCACACGCTGAGCCCTGACCCTGGTCACAGGCTGAGCCCTGAGCCTGGCCGCACGCTGAGCCCTGACCCTGGTCACAGGCTGAGCCCTGAGCCTGGCCGCACGCTGATCTCTGATCCGGAGGCTCCTGGAGAAACAGAAGGAAGGATGTAGGCCTCTTAGCAGGGAGGCATCCTAAGCAGAGCAGCCCAGACGCTGGCTGGGGCACACTTCTCCTCACCCTAAGTAGGTAGCAACTTGGCAGAAAGGTTCAGCCTGTGTCTCCCCAGCAGGGGTCACGCAGAAACTCTAGGAGGAGCTAATGCCCAAGGGCCAGGTATGTTACGGAAGGAAAGAACAGGTGGGGGCCCTGGGTCTGAGGGCAGGAAGGCGGGAGGCTGGGCCAGCCACAGCAGAGGAACTGGGCTCAGCCCGAGGAGGAAGCTCGGCTGTGCAAGGTGGTGTCTGTGCCGCCAGGATTAGCTGCGCCCAGCATCAAGCCTGGCGGCCTGGTGAAGAGTAGAATCAGACAGGCCGGGCTGCTGTCTTGGCGTTTGCCCAGGCCTCCCTGGATGACCGGCCTGTCAGCGCCTGTTAGAGCCTCCCATCCTGCATGCCACATCCAGCCATTAGCACTGGGCACCATCGCTGGCTGTAGTGAGGAAAATAGGATCCAGCAGGCGGAGTGTCTGACACACTCTGGGTGTTAAGGAAGGCTAGGTGTCCCCCGACCCAGTGCCCTCCCAGTCTCGGGGTCAAAGACCAGACGCCAAATGGAGCTGATGCCTGGAGGCTAGAAAAGGCCGTGGGGTGAGGCGGGGTGAGGCCGGCGGTCCCAGGACAGAATTTCAACAGCGAGAGGCAGGGGTGGGGAGGGCATCCCTGGTGCAGGAAGGGTGGGAGCGGAGTCTGGAGGGGAGTGAGATCTGGAGCCTTTGGTGGAAGATGGAGGGTCTAACGAGGCTGCAGCAGAGCCCCGAGTGCATCTGCGCACAGCCCTGTCAACAACCCGCCCCTACCCCCCAGCGAGTGTTCCGGCAGCAGGGGGCCTGGAGGAGGGGGTGACAGGGTCACAGGTGGGGCACACCTGGTGAGGCTGAGGCGCAGGCCGCCCTGGGGCGGGGAGGGGGAGCAGTGCCTGGAGCTGCTTGAATCTAGGGCCCAAATCCACATCTCCCCCATCTGAGCCCGGGCAAGGGCCTGCCTGTCAACTTCGTGACCTGCAGTTGGGCCAGGGGAGCCCTGCCTGAGGGGCAGCCCCCTGGGCCTTGATCCAGGTGTGCCTGCCCCTCCAGGGGATGCCAGGATTAGCATCCCCAGGTGACCCTGCCCCTTCCCCTCCCACCCTCCAGGGCCTTCCTGTTGGCCCAGCACTTGCCCTGTCTTTGTCCCCTTAAGCCTGTGGGTACGTTTTGGCTGGCTGTCCTGGCGGCCATCTCCCCATCACTACGTCCCACGTGACCACCTCAAAGAAGCTGGGTGCTGGGGCCTGGGGCGCCCTGGGAGGATTCGAACGCGGAACCACTAGACCAGGAATCCACCCTGGAGAAAGGAGTGGGGACCCCAGGCCAGACAGGTGCCTGACAGAGGCAGGAGTCAGGGTGCAGGAGAGCCCTCACCCTCTGCTGCTCCCTTCCAGGTAGCCTGGGGGTCTTCCCCAGGTGCAGGGATGTCTCGGGTTGGGGTGGGGGAGAAGGTAGAGAGCCCCACCGAGGGAGTTGCAGAGGCGGGTGAGGGTCCCCAGTCCTGAGAGGGGGGCCATGAGGGTGCGGGGAGGGGCCCAGGCTGCGGGAGGCGGAGGAAGGAGGAAGGGGCAGGCAGGGGCAGCGGGGGACCACAGAGGAGCGGGTGTCCAGGTGGAGGCGGGTGGGCCCCAGTGGGCGGGGGCGGGTCTCCGTACCTCTGCCGCCCGCGGGAAAACCAGTCCCCCTGATCTGCTCAGCTGAGCAGTCTGGTGGCTGCAGCGGGTGTTCACCATCCCTGTGGGGCGGGCCCGGGACCGCGCGCTGCAGGGACGAGACTCAGGGGACACGGCTGGCCTGGCGCTGCTGGCGCTGGTGCCGGCCGCGGGCTGTGAGCTTGGTGAGGGGTGCGGGGCCGCCAGAGGGGGCAGTGCCTGGGGGGTTGGGGGGACGGAGGGAGAGGAAGAATGCAGGGAGGCAGAGGAGATGTGGTGTGCGAAGGGAGAGGTGGGAGTGGGGTGGGCCAGGCACGGAGGGGCTCTGGGGCAGATGGGGCGCCTGCGACCTGGGCCAGGGTGAGGAGGGGTGTGGCGGGGAGGGGCCTCTTCCCAGGGCTGAGACTGGCAGGGGGGTTTGTGGCCAAGGCCCTGGGTGCCCACTGGAGAACAGCCCTTCATCAGCACGGGGCTCCAGAGCAGGGCTTTCCGCTGGGGCGGGCGGGCAGGGTCAGAACCATGCTCCCGGCTCCCAGGCCACGGTGCGGGGGCAGGTCTCAGGAGGGGCCTTGCGGACACCAGGGAGGCCCTGGGGGTTGGGGGAGCAGGAGGTGGAGAAGAGGGAAGCAAACCAGACATAGTGGGAGACTCGGGGTCTGAGAGACATCCCGGGCCCTTGGGGGCCCACACCCAACCAGAAAAGGAGCTGGGTTGGGTGGGCCCCAGCCAGATGGCTCTGCCCATTTCCCAGAGGGGAAAACTGAGGTCATCCCGAGAGACACAGCAAGAGTCAGCGGGGGTGGAGGGGCCTCACTGTGCACACGGGCGGCCCGGGCTGCCATGGTAGGGGTTGGGCACGGGGGCTGGAGGAAAGAGCAGCAGCCTGTGTGCCCTAAGCGCCCCCGCCCCCCACCAGCCTGCGCCCTGACCGGCCTGGCTCTCACTGCACCGCGGCTCTTCTCCCCTCCCTGTTAAGCTTCCACCAGCGGGCACACCGGGCCCAGCCCGGCCCAGCCTGCACGCCACATACCCCCTCGCTTGATCCCTGATCCCCTCTGCAGCCCTTCAGGTCCTGCATTTTGCTGAGGACGCCAGGGGTGACCCACCTGCCCCTGCCAGGCCCTTTACTGCAGGGGCCCCAGCGCCTCCATCTCCCTGCGCCTCCCCAGCGCTCCCGAAGCTGCTTCATCCCTGCCTGGCCGTGGCCCCGCCAGGGGCATAAGCGGCTTCGGGACTCGGGCACCCCAGCTCCAAGCTCTTGAATCTTCCCTGGGTTTTGGTCGGTGGCGACTGGACCCTGGGGGGAGCTGTCCCCCTCAAACCTGGGCCTTCTGGTCAGAGGGCTTGGGAGGTCCGGGGCCTGCCTGACCCGTCCCTCTCCACTCCTTCCCCAGTGTTGGCCTTGCAATGCTACACCTGTCCTGAGCCCACCAGCGTGCCCAGCTGAGTCACCACCACGACCTGCAATGCCCACAGAACCATGTGCAAGGCCACGCTCTGCTCCCTGGAGATGGGGCAGTGGGGCCGGGTAGGGCGGGGCCGGGGTCCCAGGGTCAGAGGTGCCGCCAGGCCAGGCAGCCCGTGGGCAGAGAGCAGTCGCCACCTTTGTCAATTCCAGAAAAGGCTTTGGGTCCAAGCAGCCGGGCTCCCTCCCTCCCTCCCTCCCTCATTCCTCCCTGTCCTTCCTGCAATGGGGACCATCTTCACCTGGCTGGGGAGCTGCTGGGGGAGGAGCGGCCTCATCCCGCGGGGCATCTGGAGCAAATCACCATGAGTGCTGTGCCAACGGTGGTGGACGTGAGGAGGGGCTGGGTCACGGAGGGACTGAGACGGGGGTGGTGAGACACACACACACACACACACACACACACACACACACACACGCACACAGCCCTACAGGCAAACACGGGAAGGCTGCGTGCCCTTCCTGGCCACTACCCCGCTGCTGCCCCGGCAGCACCCTCCCTGCCAGCCGCCACCTCCGAGGTCTTCCGGCTCCTTCAAAGCCGGGCACAGGCCCTTTCCAGGCAGCCTCCCCGACAGCACACAGGGTCTCCCGACCTGGAGCCCAGACCAGCCTGCTTCTCGGCACGCCCACCCCACCACTGCTTCACGTCCACCTCCGCTGTGACCTTCACGGGCAGCTTCACAGCTGCCCTCTGGGTCGATGACCCTCTGCCTGGTTTACCCATAAAAGAAGGGGGTCAGGGGGCTTCCCTGGTGGCACAGTAGTTGAGAGTCCGCCTGCTGACGCAGGGGACACGGGTTCGTGCCCCGGTCCGGGAAGATCCCACATGCCGCAGAGCAGCTGGGCCCGTGAGCCATGGCCGCTGAGCCTGCGCGTCCGGAGCCTGTGCTCTGCAGCGGGAGAGGCCACAGCAGGGAGAGGCCCGCGTACCGCAAAAAAAAAAAAAAAAAAAAGAAGGGGGTCAGGGTGGCTCAAGAGCAGACCTGGTTGCACGGGAGATTGTGGGGCGGGGACCCACTCAGTCTACGAGGCTTCAGACCAGCCCCGCCCCGGCTCCCCTCACCAAGCCCCAGGGGAGGGCCGCCCTGCTGCTGTCTGTGCCACACCTGCCCTGCGTGACTTGCGGTCTGACTTGCATTACCCACAGTCTCTCCCTTTGCAAACGACGCCCCCGCTCTGTTTCCTTGCGACCATCTCTCAGTCCACGTGGCCAGGTCACTTCTGCCCTCACAACTGCCCAGGGTCCCTAGTCTCATCATACAGACAGAAATCCAGTCCAGAGGGATGAGTCACCCCAAGGCCACACGTGGAGACGGCAGCAAAGCTCAGACCCAGGCCTCCCGGTTGCCAGCCCTGAGCTCCTCCCAGCATGCCATTCTGCCCTGAGACTGGGGGTAACTTCCTACCCTGCAGCCAGCCCCCCTCCACCGTCCACACAGCATACACCATTTCATCCACCACCTACCCATCCACTTGTTCTTTCATCCACCCCCTTTCCCACCAGCCAGCCCCCCACTCATGCAGCGCCCATCCACTCATTCCTCCCTCCACCCGTCCACTCTCTCAAACGTCATCTATCCACCCATCTGTCTTTTCAACCATCCATCCATGCATCCTTCCGTCTATCCATCCACTCACCCACCCACCCATCCATCCATCCACACAACCACTCACTGAGCCCTCAGAGGACAGAGAAACCAGAGAGGCTGGGATACCAGAAAGGACTCTGGGTGAGAAGCACCTGGACTGGGCCATATAGCACAGGGGAGATTGGAGGCTACGATGGGAGACCAGAGAGGCCGCTCAGTGAGAAGCAGAGCACAGGCAAAGGCGCGGAAATGGGAAAGTGTGCGGTGGAGGTGGGCAGTGGAGAAGATCCAGGAGCCTGGGGGTGTGGGCAGAGCCCTCTTGTCTGGGGTCTAGAACCAGGAGGCTCAGGCTTGGTCTAAAGGCCATTTGTGGGGACGGGGTTGGCAGTGATGAGGCGGCTGGTCCGGGCACCACCCTCGTCAGCCCAAAGGGGGCCTGGTTGCCCCACACCCACCCCCTCACCAGGCACTCACCTCCTCTGCACCTGGCCTGACACCCCACCTCCGGCCTCTGCTCTGGTGGGTCCCTGGGTCAGGTATACACCAGGTAGAGGACATCTGGGAGTGCAGGAGATGGACCTTGGCCTGGTTGGGTTTGAGATGGACATCAGTCCAGGCCAGAGCCTGGCAAACAGGCCTACAGTTCCTGTGTGGCAGGAACGGGCCAGGCTGCAGGGAGGGGCCAGGGCAGGCTCCAGCGCTGCGAGGTGCTGCCCCCTCAGGGCCTGTGAGTGCACTGGCGGCCACGCATCCTCCTGCCAGCTGCCTCCCAGTTCTGCCCTGTGCCACCCAGATGGGGGCCCAAGGGCTGGCTATAAACCCCAACCGGAGGCCGGCACAGGCTGCCGCCCTCCCGGCTCCTGAGCACAAGGAATGGCCTTTCCCAGGGCCCTGCTGCCGCCGCTGCTCACCTCAGCCTCGACTGTGAGCTTGGGCGAGTGCGGCTGGCTGGCGAGGGGCCCTGTCTCTGGTTCTCGCTTGGCCCACCTCCTCAGTGGGGAGGGGGCCATCGGGGGGCTTTGAGGGGAAGGCTTCCTTAGGTCCCCCACTGGGCTCACCTTCCCTCACCCTAAACGAGCCTCCTGGTCCTGAGCCTGGCTTCACCCAGGACAGGGGTCACAGCCCGCTCTCCAGGAAGGCAAACCAAAGCTCGGGTAGAGGCTCGCGGTGCTCAGGTCTGCGCTGGTGGCCTGGGCTGGAAGGGGCTCAGTAGGGCGAGCCACTCGCCCAGGGAGGGACAGAAGATGCTCCAGGTGGACCCGTGGGGAATGGCCCGGGGCCTGCACCATCCCTGGCCTCTCCTCCAGCCCCTCCTCCTGTGTCCAGAACGGGTCTCAAGGTCGGATGATGAGGGTCTGTCCCTATCCCTCTCCCAGGTGAGGCCTTAAGGTGCTTCACCCGTGAGCAGCCCACGGCCCTTCCTTTGTGCGAGACCATTACTAACTGCAAGCCGGAGGACACAGCTTGCGAGACCTCGCAGCTGATGGTGGAGTCAGGTGAGGCTGGGGGCCCGCAGGCTGGCTCTGTGGGGCTGCACCAGCCTCGGGCTCCCAGCTCCCATCTCAGGGCCACGCTGCAGACCCTAACAGGGTAACTTCCCAGGGCAGCCGTTAGCTTAGGGGTCTCAGGGGAGCACGGGAAGAGGCAGGAAGGGCAAGGTCAAGTGCATGGAGGCTGGGGCGGCTGAAGAAGGCGCTGGGCGGCGGGGCGCAGGCTCTGATGCCTGCCCTCCCCGGCGGAGTTCTGCTTCAACCACAGCCCCGGGGTGACCAGTTCCTGCTCCAGCTCCTGCGAGACCGCTGACCCAGACAGCATTGGGGCTGCCTACCCCAGCTACTGCTGCTCCCATGACCTCTGTAATTCTATGGGCGTTGCCAGGCTCAGTGCTGGGGCCCTGGCCCCTCGGGGGCCATAATCCTGGGTCATCTCCTTTCCTGAAGAGCCTGGCACTGCTGGCGGTCAGCGCTGCTGGCATGCCCCCATGGCCCAAGCTCACTGGGCCTCATCCTACTCGTGGGATCCTAGGGGAGAGAACAGTTTCAGGGCACTCTCTGCCCTCCTCCTCCACCAAACTTGTAGAAAATAAGGTGAGGCTGGAGACGACCTCTTTTCTTCTGGACGCTGAGAGCCCACAGACCGCCTTCAGGCAGCTGGGCTTGGAACCAGGCGTGTTCTGGCCCCTGAGCCTCATTCTCACCCAGGGCCATTTTGACCCATTTCACAGATGGGAAAACAGAGGCTTAGGGGGAGAAATGCATCCTGGGCCAGCCTTCCTGCATGTCAGACCAGGCAGGACCCATTCCTCAGCCCAAGGAAAATCTGACCCCGCTCCCAGAAGTCCCTGAGACCCTGTAGGCGTCTCCCCCGCCCCCCACCCCCAGGATGGGAAGGAAACTGGGGTTGCAATCCAGTTTTCTCCACAGGCGAGTATGCCTGTCCAGCCCAGGGCTGCCGCAGCAGCAAGGGGAGGCTGGGGAAGCGGGCCTGTGGAGCTCAGCCTGCCTACCCAGGCTGGGTCTTCCCGAGTGTGTAGGAGTGGGGCGCACCTGGGCCTGCTGCCACCCATACATCTCCACGGGCCTCAGTCACCTCCTGAGACAACGGGCCTACTACATCCTGGGCCCTGGGGACAGCTGAGATTAGAGGAGGCTGTGTGCACGGAACACGAAGGCCATGCCAGCTCACCCCTGGCCCCCAGGGCCAGCTCGGGGGTCCCGGCCGTGTTGCGCCCGCAGCACTCCCAGTGGCCTGGCCTGTCTGCCCAAGGGTGGGCAGCAGAGCGGCCTCGGAGGCTGACCAACCCCCAGGAGCCCAGGGTCCTTAGGTCCCAGGAGGGCCTGTCTCAGGCTCCTGCCCCTCCCTCACGTGGCTCCCAGCTGTCCCTGGTGGTCACTTGCTCCAGCCCCGTTATAGGGAGGCAGAGGCGGGAGCCAGAGGGAGCCCAGGGTGTCTCTGCCCACCGTGCCATCGGGCCTCTGGGCTGGGTACTTTCCACGCTCTGCATTGCGGCCAGACTTCTAGACAGCACCTAATGGACCCTACACTTGGAGGGACCCTCACCCCAAGGAGTGGGAGGCTGAGTCACTCCCACCTCAGCCTCACCAGAGGAGCAACAGGGAGGGTACCTCTGGGCTCTTTAGGGGTGCAGAGCAGGTGAGCAGGTGGGTGGCAGCAGGCACCTGTGGGGCCTCCGCCCTGCGCCGACATGGCCAGCAGACGGCACGCGCCCCTCGGACCCCTCCCCTGGGCACCCAGGTCATGCGTCTGCCGACACCTCCACCGGGAGCTCAGTGAGGTGGTCTGAGCCCAAAGGGGCCCACCAAGTCTCTGCCCAGCCCGTGGGCCCGCACCCGCCCCGGGAGATGGGAGGCCGCGGCGGAGGAGCCTCAGGAGTGGCCAGAGGGCGCCCGGCAGCTGCTCACACCATCTGCGGGCACGTGGGGCCTCAGAGGCAAGAAGCTGGTGCCAGACCGTGCCCACGTCCCACCTCCAGTCATGGGGAAGCTGGTGGGTCACAGAGAACTGCAAAGGGAGGGGAGATGCCCACCAAGGGTTACCAAGGGCTGCTCAACCCCCCACCCCTGCCCACTGGCAAGGGAAAGGAGCAAGGGTCCCTCTTCCATTACGTTAAAATCGAGAAAAGGAGAGATGAGGGTGTGGAACGCCACCACTGCCCCCACCAGGAGCTCCAGCGCCCCTCCTGCCCCCGCCCCGAGTGTCCTGCAGGCAGGTGGCAGGCGGGGGGGTCACCTGGGGGCCAGATACCCCACAGACAACACAGGGTTGTGGGGTGCTGGCGCGGACTTCCCTGTAGCCATCGGCCTGTGGGAGGTGGGGAGCATGGCCCAGAGGAGAACCAGTGCCCGGCCCGCGTGCGGGCTGAAACAGTCACTTGAATTTCTCAACAAAAGCGGCCAGTCCACGGGATCAGAGTGGGACTCGCCCCAAGAGCCAGGCTGCAGATACACTTCCAAAGCCCCAGCCCTGGCCCCAGTCCCTCTAGTCAACAAGGACCCTCCTCCCCTCTGCTGTTGGCCTGTCCTCCAAATGTGGACCGAGAGCCTCCCCTCCCCCTGCCCAGCTGGGGTGCATCTCCCTGAAGTGGACACAGAAGTCCCCATGCCCCTGGGGCAGCCACATGCAACCCAGATGCCCTTGACCATCCTGAACACCCCTTCTCTCTCTGACACACACACACACACACACACACACAGTGCCAAGTGGGTCAGACCACGCCCAGGCACCCCCATCCTGTCTCCGCAGCCCCCCGTCCTGCTCCAGGGCCCCAGCTAGCCACTTAGGACCACTGGCTGGACCTGCCCAGGCTCAGATCATCTGCGCGCACCATTTCCTATCTGTGGTCCCACCCCGGAACTTGTCCTGTCTGGCAATGCTCAGCTCAGACACCTAATACGATCCCCCAACCTCCCCTGCCCCCGACCTCTCAGGACCTGTGCAAACACCTCTTACACAAAGAGAAACAGACATTCTGTGCGGGTGCCCAACTGCCCCCCACGTGGCCACTGGCTCAGGACAGGCATGAGGCACGGCCCATCAGTCCCCAAGGCCCTCAGGCTGCCCGGAAAGGTGGACAGGGCCGAGGCCCCAGCCGACCACCCTGGCAGCAAACCGCTGACCTGCTCCCTGCCTCTCCAGCCCCACTGTCCCATCGCTGAATGCCTCTTGCAAACCCAGCTGCTTCCAACTGCCCTTCTTTCCCAGGTCCCAGTGCTGGGCCCTCCTGGGCAGGTGGTCAGAGCACGGACACCACCCACACCTCCATCACTCACCTGCCTTACATCCCAGGGGTCCCACTCCCTGCCCTCATGGAGCAGCCTGCAGAACAGCCCCTATGCTCCCCCTGGCCCCCACGCATCAAGGCCCACTGACCTCTGACCCCCCTGGCACCCACACCCTGCCCGGTGACCCCAGGAGCCTGGGGGCCCAGACCCAGACTCTGGGGCATGACCTCCCAAGTCCCTGTGGAAAACTGCAGATGAGGAGAGGACCAGGGCCGGAGGGGCTTGGGGCAGCTCCTTTCTGGCCTCGACCCCATGTTCTGTGGAATGTGGACAGCATCCCAGCCTGCCAGCATGGTCCCCAAGCTCACCCAACAAGCCCGACAGACCCCCACGCCAGAAAACACCCCTGGGGGACCAGGGCTTCGGAAATGAGGACTCCCCAGCAAGCTCACGTTTAAGACCCTTTACTCTTGGGCTTTCTTTAAATAAAACAGAAATACTGCAGCGTTCCCACGGTGGTTGAGGCAGGTGACACTGTGGGGACACATGAGGGGTGTGGCTGTGCTCCTGGCTCCAGCTGGCAGCGGGTCGTGGACTGGGTGGCAAGGGGGCAGTCCTGGGCCCCAGCTGCTCTGGCCTGCCCCGTGGGCCGGAGGGGGCAGCTGCAGGGGCACAGGGGAGCAGGCACCCTGCGCTGGGCAGCCCCCCACACGGGAAAGCAGCAATCCCACACCCAGAGCCCTGACCTCTGTCCCCAGCCAGCCGGGGTGAAGGGTGAAGGGTGAAGATGGGTGAGGGCACCCAGGCAGAATCCCACACCCCAATCCCTCCTCAGCAGCAGGCCCCAGCTAGGACACCCCCAGCTACGACAGTTCACCACCTCCACTGGAGCCCCTGTGCCATCTGACCTGCACTGGCCCCAGCACACTCTCCAGGGCCACAAGCCTCTGCTGCAGGCCCTGCCCCCATCCCAGGAGCCCGGTGGCCAGGCCTCCCTCCTGAGTGCCCTTGGGTCAGCCTGCCTGACCCCTGGTCTGCCAGACTCTGCCCTGGGCCTCCCCTTCCCTCACTCGCAGCCAGAGGGATCTGCCTTGAAATGCCGCTCTGATCCTTCCCAGCTCCTTGCCGTGCCCGCCCCAGCCCTGCCTCCAGGACTGCTTGGGCCTCATCCCCACGGCAGCTCGGACTCCAAGCTCCGGTGCTCAGGGCAACTCCAGCCAGTCCCCTGCTCCAGGCACTCTCCCCCAACTAGACACACGGACACGGGGCTGCACCTGCTGGGTGGGCCACCCCCAAATCCCGCTGCCTGCATGCCAAGGGCCCTGGGCCTCCCAGTTTGCCCATCGTCATCATCCTGAGCGCATCGGAGCTGGTCTGGGTGCCTGTGTCACCCGCACCCCGTGCTCCGCGTGGGATGGGGTGGAGAGGGGCATCAATAATGGGGGCGGGGGAGGGCCCTGGGCGTGCGAAGGGGGCTGGGCCGGTCGCAAGGCCACTCCAGCTCAGAGAGAGCCCAGCCTGGCCAGCCCGTTCTGCGCTCTCTGCCTCCTGGCAGGCAGGGAAGGGTGGGCAGCTGCCCCGAGGTCAAGGCTGGTGGGCAGGGCGGGTAGGCTGTGGCGCTCACTGGTCCTTGACAACACTGCCGAGCCCGCTCTCGGCCCGGAGCAGCTGGCTGCTGGCCTCGTTGTAGGCGATCCAGTGTTGCAGGTCGGCTGGCAGCTCAGGGGGCTCCACCTGCAGGGGAAGACGAGGGTGAGACTCCCACGGGCCGCCCGCTGCCATGGGGACCAGCAGGGCCGGGGTGGGGGGGCGGGGGGGCGGGGACAGCCAGGCTGCTGTCTTCACACGTCTGGACCTCGGCTCACACTGTCCCCCAGCCCCAGCCCCTCCCAGGCGTCTGCAGTGCGGGTTCCTCCCCAACCCAGATCTCGGGGCACCACGCCCCTCATCAGGCCTGTCTCCCCCACTGGGTGGCAACTGAGCCCTCTGCACATTCCCAGATCTGGGGCAAAAACCTCTGAAGCCAGCTGGTTGGGGGGGGCGACGGGAGACCCAGAGCGGCCAGAGGCAGGGCAGGGGATGGAGGGGCAGGAGCGACGTCAGAGCGGCTCTGCCGGGACAGCCCAGGACAGGGCCATGCCTGAGGCCCCCTCTCAGCGCGCCAACAGGAGCCGGACGCCACCTCGCAGCTCAGCACCGCGCTCCTGCGCCCTCCTGCTCAGCCACACTAGCCGCCTCCCTGCAAACTGGGCCACCATTTTGTGACGGGGCAAGGGGCTGGGCCAGGCTGGAGGGGTCCGAGGACTTGCAGGCCTCTCAGGAATGAGGGGGAAAGCCCGCCCACCTCAGGGCGTCAGGGAGGCTGGGCAGAGGTGCTCAGAGTCGGGTCACAGGGTAAGTCTGGGCAGAGCCAGGCTTGGCTCCCGGAAGCATCCTCCTCCCGGCCCAGCTGGAATCACCAGGTCCAGACTTGGCTGTAGCCCAGCTCTCCCTGCAAGGCCGTGCTGCCCCAACCAGCCTTTAAGCATGCAGATCTCTGGGCACTGGGCCCAGCCTGTCCTACACTAAACCCAGGACTGCACCCGGGACCCTCCCGACCCACAGGCTCAGGCCGGGTGACTCCTGGCCATCTGTGGCCGAGTGTCCTCGCCATGCCATGGTGTGGGCGCCCTCTGCCTCTCATGTAGGTCTCACCCATCAGCCCCCGCCTGACCACCCTCCCCTGCAGGACAGTGGCCCTGGCTCCCTCTCCTCCACCTTCTGCTCGCAGCTCTCAGCCCGTCGATTTAAAGCCTCGATGGCCATCCCCTCCCAGCCTCCTGACGCATGAAGGGACATGCAGAGCACCTCTGTGGGTGCGGGGTGGGAGGCATCCAGGCCCTTTGGGGGCGTCCCTGACTCAAAGAGACAGAAAACCAGGGGACTGGGCCTGTGGCCCACCGTGCAGCCTCAAGCAGTTCGCATTGCCCCTCTGAGCCTCAGTTTCCCCACCTCCGATATAAAGGAAAGGGTAGCCTCTCGTGACTAACGTGCGGCTGTGTCCCTCCTCTGCTCCTGTCCAGGGCCAGAGAGGGCAGCACCCTGCCTGAGGGCACCTAGGGGCCCAGCGGGCCCTGGCTTTGGCATGGAGGCTCCAAGCATGTTTTTAGGAACGTGCCTGCAGCAGGAGCCTGCCCTGGCAACCAGCACCGCAGCGGCATCCCCAGGGCCCAGGTGCCATGATGCAGCAGCAGGCTGTGCTGGGAGGAGCAGGCCCTGGGGAGGGGCCTTGAGCCCCAGGCAGGTGCTGCAGCCTTTTCTCCAACTGGAAAAGGCAGAAGGGCTTGCAGCTCTACAGGGCTCAGGGCTCACCCCTAACCCAGGTGATGGTGACCCAGCCCCTCAGGTCTAAGCTGGGTGAAAGAGCTCTCAGGTCCTTGAGAACTCCCAGCAACCTCCCCTCACTAACGCCCCAGCCCCCATCTCCCCACCCCACCCCCACCCGGCTTCCATGCTACATTCAGAACCAAGGACCAGTGAGGCCGGCTCCGCACTCCAAGCCACACTTAGACTCTTTGGGAGACGCCTGGTCTGGCCTTCCCTGTTCTGGAAAAGGCGTAGCGTGGGGCAGGGAGCCTTGAGGGGTTAATAAGGGATGGCAGGAGGGGAGCATGCTGAGTCCGACTACAGAGAGTTGATGAGGCGACCCTGAGAGGTCCCAAGAAGAATGGCATCAGTGAAGAAGGCCCTGGGTCCAAAGAAAAGGGCTGGAGCGGTACTCGGCCGGACAGGGGCACCCCAAAAGGGGTAGGCGGCAGGCCTTCCCCAGGGGCGGGGGACAGGGACCAAGAGTCCTCAGGGTCCAGCGGGAGGAGTGCGCTCGGGGCGGGGGACGCTTACCCGGCGCTTGCACAGGTGCTGCACAACGCGCTCCGGCGAGGTGCCCAGCACGTGCTGGCGGGAGCGCAGTAGCGCGCACACGAAGCCGTCGCGCAGGCTGATGAAGCGCGCCTCTAGGTAGAAGGCGCGGTCGTCCCAGCCCAGCAGGCGGGTGCGCACCTCAAACGGCTCGAGCAGACGCAGCGAGCGGCGGTAGCGCGCGCACGAAGCGGCCAGCACGGCGCGCGCCCCGAGCGCGCGCAGAGCCCCGAGCACGCCGCAGCGGGCCAGGTGCGCGGCGCGCGCCACGTCGGCCTCGCGCAGGTAGCGCGCGTTGTTCATGTGCAGCAGCAGGTCCAAGTCGGAGGGCAGCACGCGGCCCGAGTAGCTCTGCTCAGCCAGGAGGTCACGGACGCGGGGCTGCAGCAGGCGCGCGCGCAGTACCGCGCACGGCACGCGGACCAGGTACCAGCCGTCCAGCAGCGCGAAGTAGGCGAGCGCCAGGGCCAGCACCGCCATGAGCAGCCCCAGCATCGCGGCGGCGGGCGCAGCGGTGCTGCGGCCCCTCGGCGCTGGTGCCAACAGTGCGCGCGGCAATGCAGCCCTGATGCCCCAGCTCTGCCGGCCAGCCTGGGAACCGTTGAGCGCAGCGCGGCCGGAGCGAACCATCTCGCGAGGCTGGCTGAGGGGGGAGACGCGCCGGAGGCCTGCGCGGAGCCCCGCCCCCCGCTCCGGGCCCCCCCTCCCCGCTCTCAGTGGTCCGTCCCACCCCCGCAGCCCGCGCCGCTTTTGCTTTCCCCGGAGCGGGCGGGGCACAGGGCGGCGCTCCGAGCACCACAGCGGCATCTGGCGGTGACTCCCCGCGCTGCAGGCGCAGGAGCGTTCCGGGTCTCCCGCAGCGTTGCCCGCCCTCTGCGAGCGCGAGCCCCTCGCGCCTTTCCCTGGCTCTTTAAGACTTGGAGTGACCCTGGAGATTCCGCCTCTGATCTCCGAGGGTCAGAGTCTCCAGCACTTCCCCGGCCTAGGCTGTGGAATTTGGCAGGACACATGGACATAGGCCGGTCCCTAGCGGCGCTGCTTGGAGGCTGCTGGAAACCGACCCTCCTCTACTCCAGAACCACCAGGGGCTGGCTCCCCACTTTCGCAGGGCGACAGCCCCATATGCGGCGGGTTCAGGGAGTATCTCAGTCTGGCCCCAATACACCTTTTCAGTCTCAGCCTGTAACTTCATTACCCCTCCCCCCACATTCACCCCTTCCTCCCCAAAGGTCCTGATAACCGCAGCCTCATTTCCAAGCATTTCCACCCTTTGCACTTTTTGAAGTTGGAGCAAATAACGTCCCGGATTGAGAGGGAAGAGTCAGTAAATGACTCAGCAATCGATTCAAAGGCCTTGCCTTAGGCACTAGGGACGCCTGGCCTGGCAGACTGCCACGCACAGTAGGTGTCCTCTTCCTCTTTTCTGCGAGGCCAGGATGGAAGGCCCAGAGAAGGCCCGGCCGGCCGGCCTCCAGGCCTCTCCAACGAAGGTGTTTGCCAGTGACCCTGGAGGCCGCCTCCTTAGGTCAGTACTGGAGTCCCGGGATGGGTGGGTTTAAGGAGTGATCGCTGAGGTCCCAAGGCTCTGAGAATGCATCTGGCAGCAGCTGGACTGAGGCAACTGGACTTTCATCCAGTCCACACCCAGCCTGGGCTCGGGTTGCGGGGTTCTTGAAAGCCCCTGAAGAAGGAGATCCAGGGGTAGCCCTGTTCCACAGTCCACGCTGGGGCTGGGCGGGCTCCCATGCCACGTTCACTGTCAGGGCAGAGGCTGTTTGCTGCTTTTCTGGCTTTGCTTCTGGGGCCAGCAGCTGGGCAGAGTGGGGTCTGGGTTTTCCTGGGCCTTAGATCTGCTTGGATACTCCCAGGGACAGGGAGCTCGTTTCCTATCAGGGCAGGCCCAGCTGCCCTAGGAAGCCCTGGCGGTAAGAAGGCCCTTCCCGCACACTGCTCGCGCGTGTCCCTGTAATGCTCTCCCTGCCCTGGCTTGGCTCTGAGCTGTCTGTCCAGGGATGAGCTAGCTTCTCAGGGCGAATAGAAGAATGACATGTTCTTGGAGCCCCCCTTTGCTGCTCCTCTGAGAACACAGCCTCCTTGTCACCCACCTTGTCCCGTCCCCCCAGGGAGGGCCCCGAAGCTAGAGACCTGGTTCTGGAGATGTCAGTGAAGTTTGGTGAATGGGAATCCAGCCGGGAGCTTATGAGACCCCTGCCCCCAACTTCCTCACAGCCTGTGCTCCCCCCACCGCCCTACCCACCTGGCTTCCTTCTGAGCTTCTGCTATCCAGGAGGCCACCCAACACCACACACACACACACACACACACACACACACTGCACATGCTGTTGTCCCTGCCAGGGGACCCTCCCTGCCCCATCTGCCCCTTTCCTGAATCCCGGACTGGGCTAGATCCCCAGAGCCCTGGTCTCACTCCACTTTTACTCACAGATATGATCCGTAGGCAGGGGGTGCTCTCTCCCTGCTGGACCTTGAGGCCAGGAGGCCAGGGCCTGGTCTGTCTCGTTGATTGCCAAAGTCCAGGGCCAGCGGGATGCCCGGTGCACCGAGGGCGCTCAAAACGTGAATGCTGTAAGGACCAGCGCCTTCTGTGCCCCCCTCCCCCCACCATCGGGCCGCTTCAGTCCCACACAATGGACGCAGGCATCTTGTGATGGGTCACTGGCCGTTTATTGGGAGGCTGGAAGGAGTCCTGGGCGCGGAACCTCGATCCCTTCCCTCGGCCCTGGCTTGGAGTATCCAGCAGGGTGGAGGAGCAGAGGAGGGGTACTTCTGGGTCCCCTTGGTTCCTCAAGGACTCTCGTGTCTGGGTAGCACCGGGCGTCACCGCCAGAGGTAGTCCCGCAGCCTAAGTTCTAGCGGCTGCCTGCTTGGATTCGAGGCTCCAGACCCAAGAGGAGCAGAGGCTCAGGATGCCGCCCGGCAAAACAGGAGCAGCGGTGCGAGTGGCCGGAACGCGGCGGGAAGCCCCTGGACCGGGACCCAACCTCGGCCCCGCCCCGGCCCCGCCCAAGCCCCGCCCATCCCCGCCCCCAGAGTCGCTCCCGGGCCCCGCCCGGCCCGGCCCGGCCCGGCCCCCAGCAGCGCCCCGCGCGGGGCACGGATCCTGGCGGCAGCAGCTCTGTGGCCCTTTTGGCCTAGCCCGTCCGCGTTCGAGGGCTCGCATGGGTCCGCGCACGCCTTGGTCACCACCACAGTGCCACGAAGGGGTAGCCTGCGGGCGGAACAGAACCAGGGTCGCGAGGGCGCAGACCTGTTTGTCCGCAGTGCGAACTGGGGGACCGGCCCATCGTGGACCTGAAACTCAGTTCCGTAAAAAGGGGGCGGTCTCCCTAACAGGGGGTAGCTCTATCGCAGCCCTGGGGGAGACCGACTCGATTACTTCTGTGCTGGGGTTCTTTTCTGGGTGCTGTCTGCCCAGGGCGAGTCCCGGAGCCAGCGTCCCTGGTGAGGCAGACCTGGGCCCCCAGGGCATGTGCTGACGTTCAGGCAGCGGGCCACGGTGGTGGTCCAAGCATTGGGCACAGGCGAACTGCTCACCTGCGGGCTGCCCCAACACCCCACAGCTTTTGTGGGGTGGATGGATGGGGTCCCAGCTCTGCGCCCTGAAGCTGTGGGCGCTTGGGCAAGAACTCTGCATCTCTTCTGACTCAGGAAGGGCCCCCTGGGGTACTCCAGGACTGCACAGCACCTGCTAGAGACCCACTCTCCTTCCCATCTAGCTTGACTTCCTGCTGCAGCTGGAGTCCAGTGGGGAGGGTGGGGACATCCCCAGGGAGCCAGACCAGTCATCAACCTCAGCCCTGGCGGAGAGATGTCCGGCCGAGCCAGAGTCCTCAGGGGAGGAAAGCCCAGGACTGGGTGTGGCTGGGAGCTGGGGCCAGGGCGGGAGATGCCCACTCAGGGGCCCGATTTGGGGTGGGCAGGAGCCCTCTGTGTGACCCTGGGTCAGCTCTTTCACCTCTCTGGGCCTCTTTCTACCGGGGTTGGAATGCAGCCTCACCAGTTCTAACTAACTGTGTGATCTTGGGCAAGTTGCTTCACCTCTCTCTGCCTCGGGTTCCTCCTCTGCACAGCCCTGCCCCCAAGGGGGGAGGAATGAATGAATGACTGCAAGGGAGGCGGCAGAGGAGTGCGCGGCCCGTGGTGAGCGCTATGCCATGTCTGCTTTTGTCGTCACCTATTACTCTAGATGCAGACAGACCAGGACAGTGTCTCTCCCACGGAAGGTGCTCGGCAAGTGGCATCTTAAAAACAAAAACACGTCGGTCTGTCCGGAGGATCACCTCAGCCACCACGGGGTGTCTCGTCCTTACCAAGGAGAGATAGAGGTTTAAAAAAAAAAAGCGGTTTCCTGAAGAGAGTGTGACCAGGTGTGTAACTCGCAGGATGCTCCTTATTCTTGCACAGGAAGTGTCACCATGAGGGTGAAAACGGGGGCGGAAAATGGGGACCATCCTAGGGCGTGGGGAGAGGGTTCTGCACTTCCTCTTTCTTGCTTTCCCACAGTTTCTGACGATGAAATGGTGTGGGGTGGAGCGGGTGGGGGTCCCAGTCCAGACGCTGCGTTGGGCCGGCTCAGGGACCCTGGGCTGCCCCTGCAGGTGGCCCCCATGCTGTCCTCACCCTTGGAGAGGCAGAGCCCCCGTCAGCCCTCCATCCTGCGGGAGGGGGAGACCTGCCCCACAGTGCTGGGTCGGGAGCGCTCCTGCGCCTCCCGGGGCCTGTCCCTCTTCTGGAGGCTCAAGGCTGCGTGACCTCAGGGACGGCTCAGGAGGCGAGAGGAGGCCCTGGGTTACAGGGCATGGGGACCCACCCGCCATCTCTCTCCTCTCATGTTGACCCAAAGAATTCAAACCACTGGGGCCCAGGGCACCTCACCTCCATGAGCCTTGGCCCCAGGGCGGAGCACCCCTCCACAGGGAGGCGCTAAGGTGTGGGTTGTCGTGGGCTCTGAGTGCGGGGACCTCTGGTCTCCTCTGCCCTCCGGACGTCACCACCCGCAACACTGGGCTGCCTGGGGCTCCCTGTGCCCTGGCCTGGACTCTGGTGAGTGTGACCCCACCCCACCTGCTGCTGTGCCAACCTGGAGGGTCTCTCCAGTACCCGGGTTCTAATCCTGCCTAATCCACCACCCAGCGCCTGGTGTGGGCTGGAAGCACCGTCCTGTGCAGGCAGGTCTCACCCAGGGCCCGGCCCTCCCTGAGCCCTGGTGCCCGAGGGCAGGGGCCAGCTGGGTTTTCAAAAGGACTTTCCCAGGTATGAAAAAGGCCAGGCAGGGGCCGTGTCCCCTGGGGCTCCCCCAGGCCTCACAGTTAGTTACCCCGGAAGGAGCCCCAAGCGTGTGATGGGAGCATCCTAGAGAGGGGAGGGGCCCGCGGTCGGGGTTGGGGAACTGGCTCAGCACTGGGGACCCTCTTGTACAGTTTGAATTTTTTGCTCTGGGTGTGAAGCCCTTACAACAAACAAAATAAGTAATTGAAGAAAGAGACAGAGGGGCTGTCCTCAAGCTGAAGGGGGAGGACAGCGCAGGGGTTCTGGCGGCCTCGTGCAGCAGCAGCAGCCCCTCCCACCCAGAAATGTCTCCATGCCTTGAAATCTCTGGGTCAGTACTCACAGCAGAGATGGGTCCCAGTGAGCATCTGAGGCTCAGAGAGGTTGAGCAACATGTGTGAGGCCACACAGCAAGAGCCGGGAGGTCCCAGGGACACGGCCTTGCAGCAATGTCCTCCCTTCCAGGAGTCAGACATTTGCTCCTGCCCTGGCCGGAGCCAAGGGCACAGCCACAGCCACAGACGTGGCCCCAGGTGGCAACCTTTCACAGCCCTGGACCCCAACCTTTACCTCAGCCTGCAGGCATGCAAGGACAGGTTCTCTGCAACCAAGCCCATGGGCCTTTATTAAGGGCCTACTGTGTGTTGGGGTTGCTGCCCCAGGACCCCTATGAACATGGGGAGCTGTTCCCCCCTCCAAGCTTCATCTCTTGGGGCTCCCAGGACCTCACACCTCTGACCCTAATTCTACTCGGAACATTTCCTCTCAGCCTTTTTGGGGCCCTCCTGAGAGCCTGCTTCATGCTGGGTGCGGGGGACACCACGGACAGGACCTGGCTCAGCTCGTGGAGGGGGCAAGCAGGGAAGGCTTCCTGGAGGAAGAAGTGCCTGAGTGAAGGTTAAGGGGTGGGTCGGAATATTGGGAGGGGGTCTGATGGGCCATCTGCACGCTGTTCCACATCACAGAGCGCAGCCTGCCGGGCGGTGGCAGCTGGGCAGGAGTCCTGGAGGGAGCCAGGGAGGGCTGGAAAGGGCAGAGGGGCATCGTCCAACCTGAGTTAGGGTTCAGAAGGGGCCATGACTGGATCGGGTGTGTGTGAGGAGTGCCCCCCGGGCCCCTGGGCACCACTGCCCAGCATGGGACACAACAGGGTCCTCCTGGATCCTACAGCTGCCTGGGGCCCCAGAACAGCAGCACACCAAGAGCGGTGAGCAGCGTCAGGGTGACAATGGCCGGCTGCAGGGCGTGGGCCCCGCTGGCGTTGCACAGGTCAGTAGAGCAGCATGTGACGTTTTTCTCGCCCACGTAGTAGTTCTCTGAGTCCTCCACACAGTGCGAGCTGCAGCCCTTGCTGATGAAGGTCAGGAGATCAGCAGCACCTGGGCGAGGCATGGGGACCACTGGGCGAGGGCCGGGCCCTGGATACTCACCCACCAAATATAGATGGGAAGCTGGGCATCTATATTTATGTGTGGACAGGAGAACAAGTGGGCAGGTGGGCAGGTGGACAGAAGGATGAACAGTCCAGCGTAGAGACCTAATCCCAGGCCCTTTGAATCCCTGCCAGTGGAGGGAAGGTGCAGGGCTTCTAGGGGATGGTGCAGGGGGCAGGGCAGGGGCACAGGGAGGCCTGCGGGGACAGCAGGGCCACTTACGGATGCGCTCAGTCCTGCACTGGGTCTCAGAGTGGCTGCAGTTCTGCACGTGCTGGCATTGCTGGTTGCTGACCTCGGCCTGGCAGGAGTAACACTGCAGGGCGGTGCCTGCAAGGTGGGGGTGGGGTGGAGCTCAGAGGCTGCCCCGCCTGCCCTCCCACGCTGCGGGGGTATGGGGGGAACCTCTTTTTCTCATAGGTCACACACAAACTGGGGGCCCCCTCACAGGGAGGGCCCCACGCCCACCCCCTTGCCTCTAAGGCCCTGTTATGATGCCCACGCTCCTGAGAGGGACGCACACCAGGCAGGTGAGGGCAGGATGGACAGGACCCTTCACACTCCCTCTCAGCATCCCCCTCCCCCCGACCCGGAGCTGTGAGCCCGTAGGTGCGCCCCTGGCCCGGCCCTGCTCTGTCCCTGGGGGCAGTGGCCCCAGCTGTCATGAGGATTAGGTCTCCTCTGGGTAAAACGATGAAGCTGGGATCCACGTCACCCCAGTGCCAACAGGTTCCCCGCGGCCAGCCTGTGCTCGGGCACCACACACGCCGGCCGACCCGTGTGTCCTCGGGCACCACCACGATCCCTGCTTCCCAGAAGAGGGAGCTGAGGCTCTGAGGCCTTTACTGATCACCCGGGGCCCTGGGCCGGGAGAGTCCCTACCAGGCCCGAGTCCAGACTGGAGCAGTGCAGGCCCACAGCCTACCCCTGCTGCCCACATCAGAAGCCGGGGCTGGGCCTGGGCAGAAGGACCTCTTCCTTCCGTCCCTCTGTGGCCCTTCTTCACTTGAGGCCCTTTGCCCCTGTGCCCCTCACCCACTCCACAGGCTCTCTGCGCATCCCTCCAGCAGCCAGGCCAGCCCCACGGCACTGGATGAGAGACCCCCGCGCTGCCCGGCCTGCTCCCGCCTCGGGGGACAGCTAGGAGATGACCCGGTATCCTCGCTGCACTAAGAGCTGCCCCAGGGGGAGCTGGGTGGGGTCAAAGCCCCTTCTCCGCACCCCTGCCTCGTGTCCTTCCGCCCAGCCTGCCCCCTCCTTCCTCTCTGCCCCTCTGGCCTTCCTCGATCATCCCCCCTTCCCCCACCCCCGGCCCTGCTCCCCCCACACTGCCCTGTGGCCCCCTGCAGTCTCACCTGGCTGCAGGGCCAAGACAGCGGCTAGCAGGGCAAGGAGGACAGCCTTCATGGTGGTGGGTGGGCAGCAGGGAGCAGACCTTGGGCGGCTTTATATTGTTCTGCTGGCTGGGGTGGGGGGGTGGCCGCCCACAGTCAACACCAGTAGCTTCCTGGCTGCAGGGCCCCAGGGCGGGGCAGGTCCCAATCTCCAGCCCCCAAACGGCTGCACCCTCCCGCTCCCTTTGGCCTTCTTTCTGCTTCGGGAAGGCAGAGCCTGCCCGGGGCAGGGGCCATTTCTCAGCCGCCCCAGGACGGGGCCCCAGACCACTTCTCCACCACCTCAGAGGGGCGGCAAGGCCAGAGAAAGGAGAGCGTATTCCCCAGATTCACTCACTCCTGTCTTTGACCCAGGTTGAGGGCCCCTCTCTCGGCCCCACTGTGCTCTGTGTGGGAGCCATGCTGACCCCTGTGGCTGAGTCCCACTGGGGTGACAGGCCTTGATCAGACGGCACAATCAGCAGGAAGGAAATGTGGGCTGCAGAGAGGGGGCCTGGTGGGGACCTTCTGGGGAGGCTGCCAGGGCGCACAGGTGTGGAGCACAGCATACGGGCCGGAGCTGCGGGCCTCACCCTCATGACCTCACTCAAAACCCCACCACACCGTGGCACTTTAGCTGCAAGGGAGTCCTGGAAATGCCGCGTCAGTAGCCTCTGCGGGACGAGGAGGTGACAAGAGCTCAGCACTGGGCCAGATATTTTCCATCCAGACCCAGGCCCCCTCTCCACCCTGTTTGTGTCCTGGGTCCCATAAGGATCCTATGAAGGCTTCCACTGGCCAAGACCTGAGGATGAGATGCTCAGCAGTCAGGCCACCTGTTCTGCCGCACCTGACGCCTGGGCCACCATGGCGGCAGCTGCATCCACGTCACCAGCCTTCTCCCATCACAGCAGCTCCAGCCAGCCTCTGGGACTGGCCCTTCCCCTCATTCCTCTGCACCAGGGAGGGCCGGTGGCTCCTGGCTGCTGCTGCCCTCTCAGCCTGACCCTCCCTTTGTGCCCAGTCTCCCTGGGACCCCTTGGAGTGTCGACCAGGTGGTGGCAGGCACAGGCTGCACCCACTGCCTGCTGGCCCCAGGGTGTGTCTGGGGGCGACGAGCTCCTCCTACAGGGGGAGAGGGCCTCTCATTTCCTCAGGTCTTCCTGGCCCTGTGGATGGCCTCGTGGAGCACATCTCACTCCCCTCCTCGGTTTACCCCCCAGAAAAGGGCCCAGGGCACGTCAGGGGTGGAAAGGATGTTGCCAGGCGCAACATCCTTAGGGGAAGGGGCTCTGTGGGCCGCAGGGAAGGCTGAGGGTCAGCGGATGCCTCGCAGTGGGGGGCAGCCCGGGAGCCGGGTGACAGGGCAGTGTGGGCCAGGGGTGCCCTGAGACCCGGCCCTCCCGGGATTCACAGCACTCCTGGGGTCTACCCCGACCCCAGCCCCCCAGCTCCCCCCAGGCCGGGCTCTGTCCCTCGGAGCCTGGGGCCCAGAGAGGGAGGAACTTGCTGAAGGTCACACAGAGGTGAGCGTGTCCCCTGCACCGGCGCACCTTCCTTGCCCACGCTACGTGCCTGGTACTTTCTCTCCGAACATGCCCCCCCCCCGCCCCCCGCCCCCTCAGCTCAGCTGCCTCACGTGGGATGTAAAATGTTTGTGCCTTCACTGTTCCCTTGTGGGGCTGCCCGTCTGCGCCCCTCCCCCACCCCAGTTCACGGGGAGCTGCGGTGCCCTGGGCTGGGACCTTTCTTATCTGTTTTGTGTTCAAGGCACCCAGCACCTAGCACCAGCCTGAAGCACTCATTCTTCAAATATTGACAGTTGCCCGTGTGTTCGCTGATGTGATTTGATATGAAGTGGTTGCTGTAAGGCAGTGGTTCTCAGATGGGGGCGTTTCCGTGGCCCAGGGGACGTTTGGCGGGGCCTGAAGACATTTTCAGTCGCCCGAATGGGGGCGCTCCTGGCGTCCAGGGGTGCAGGCCGAGAATGCTTCTCCACACCCTGCCGTGCGCAGCACAGCACGACGGAGTCCTCGGCTGACGCAGGCAGGACCCGCCGGGAGCCCCGGCGGTGACGCCGCTTTGCTGGGGTTGGGACCCGCCACTCTCCCTTACGATGTTTCCCTTTGTGGTGGGAATCTCTGCCGTATTTTGGAGGCACGTAATTTGCCTGGTTGCACAGATTCACAGCCAGAGAGGAATTTGCCAGGATGAATCCCACCTGGACTCGGCCACGTCTGATGTAGAGAGGGTCTGGAGGAGACTTTGGGCTTTAGGGGTTAGTGCAGACCCTGTAATGAGTTAAGACTCCTGGGCTTATTGGGATGACGGGAATGCACCGTGCATGTGAGAAGGACGTGAATTTCGAGGGCCAAGGGTGCAGTGCTATAGGCTGAACTGTGTCCTCCCCTAATTCATATGTTAGAGCCCTAACCCCCAGCCTGATGGTTTTCAGAGAGGGGGCCTCAGGGTTGGATGAGGTCATGAGGTTGGGGCCCTCACGATGGGATTCGGTGACCTGAGAAGATGTGGCGCCAGCTCTCTCTACCACGCGAGGATACAGTACGAGGGAACCACCTGCAAACCAGGAATAGAGTCCCCACCAGAACCTGCCCGCCCAGGAACGCTGATCTCAGACTGCTGCGCTCCAGAACTGGAAGAGAAAAAATTCTCTTGTTTATGTCACCCATACTGGTATTTTGTTATGGCAGCCCAAGCTGACCGAGATAGATGACCTAATGGACATGACTCAAATATAGAAGACCACGGCTGTGATGCCCTGTGGACAGTTATTAAACTCCACTCCTAATAACAGTTTGAGCTCTGACCTGGGCCCCAAACTGAGCTCTCACTGGGGTCAAAGTCTGAGCGCCGACCCTGGGCCAATGCTGAGCGCCATCCCGTCACTCATGCACTGGGCATGCAGTGAGCCTCAGTGGAGCCTGGATCCTTCGGTGGGATCCAGCTTTCCGGGAAGGCCTGTGGGGCTTTCCCGTGACTGCCTGCGGTCCCTCCACACAGGAATGGGGTCGAGGTGTGGCTTCGATGTGACTTCCCCTTAGCCCCCTTCCTTTCCTCTGCTCTGCGGCCACCTCCTAGGACTCCAGATTTTCCTGTTCTCTCGTGGCCCTCCACCTGCCCGCCCAAACCGGTTGGGTTCCCTGGAAACCCTGCCTGTTCACATAGCTCAGAGATTTCCCTGATCTTGTCAGTGTGAAGCTGGGGCTGCTAGGGCTGGTGGTGGGGCTGGGCACTGCGGGGAGGCAGGCTGTGTAGGGTAGACCCGCCTCACAGGGGTTCCTTACCAACGGGCCACTGCCACCTCCTGGGGCTGCCACGTGGTTCCACACTTCCATGGACATCAGTTTTGGATGAATTCATTATTTTATGCAGAATTAATAAAAAAAATAAAGATGGGGTATACTGCAAAACTGCAACTGAATTCTCTTCCACATTTGTAGACATTTTCCTTTAGAAAAATGCATGTATCACCAGGAGGGTAACTGGTGCACTGCCAGATCCCTGACAGATTGGGGAGAGCGTCCACAGTGCCGGGCTCCCCATTATAGGTTCTCAAAATTAAAGCCGTGTCCTGCAAGCTCCGACTCTGTGAGGGTGTCTCTGTGTGTGAAAACTGCATGTAGGAGCGACCTGTGGGATGCATGTGTGAGGGTGTGTTCCTGGGTGAACAGTGCACGTGGAGGGCGTGTGTAAATGCGTGTCCCACAGCTGAGTGTGCGTGCAGGACACTGAGACCCCGTCCACCTGATCGGTGCGCCAGCCCCACACCGTCTGTCCTGGGCTCAGGGGTCTCTGTCCCCAGAGAGCCCTGGTCGCAGAGGTGCCCCTCCCGTGTGTTCCCGAGTCCTCAGGGCCTCGGTGCCTCTCAGGACTGAGCCCCTAGCCGGCCCCCCTTCTCCTGTCCACTCCTACCTCCCCGAGCGAAGTCGGGGAGCCAGGAGCTCCGGCCACACCCCCAGCCCCCAAGTAAAGTCCCCTCTGCTGTGAGAAACCCTCGCCCTGGTTCTGGGGGGACCGGACATCTCTCCACCCGAGGGTCTGGAACCTGGGCTGGGTGCCCAGCATGGCGCAGGCCAAGGGCCATGGGCAGAGGGGCCGCAGCACTCAGGAGCCCCGTGGGCTTGGAAGACAGTGAGAGCAGGACCTCGCCAGGCCTGGTGGCCCAGGAGGACCTTTCTGGGACACGTGGGATGCCACTGGAGGGGGCGGTGAGGGGGCGTCTGCCCAGCCAGACCCTCTCCAAGGCCTTTGGGCTGTGGACAGTCTGGCTTGGTGGGGGGCCTGACCCTGTGCATTGGGGAGATACTTGGGGGAGGGGGCCCTCCATGCCAGGCTTCATGTGACACCAGGGGATGGTCTTCCTTCTCCTTGTCTCTTCCCGACCCCTTCCTCTCTGCCTGAGTGGACTCAGTCCTGGAGACGAGGCCCGAGGCTCCCAGTGTGATCGAGGGAGCATCGGCCCCAGCAGGTTCTGACGGGAGCAAGAGATCCGGTTCCCACAAGGTGGCAGCAGAGTGCCATGCGGGGATGAAGCCGGCCTCCCTGGGGTCAACCTCACCATCCCCGGAGACCCCGCTGGCTAAGGGCCCTCCAGTCCGCCGGGGGCAAGGGCAGAAGCCAGGGCCAGGGGAGGCAACAGCGGGTTCAGGGCGGCCTGGGGGGAGTGAGCAGAGGCCAGACGCTGCCTGCTTGTGGAGGGCAGAGCGTGGGGGTGGGGGGACAGAGAGTCAGGGACGACTCCACGTTTTTGACCGGAGCGATGGAGACGTGGAGCTGCCACTCACCGCGGTGGGTGGTGTGAAGCTGGAGCCCGGCCAGGGGAGGGGTGCGAGCGCAGGTGTAGAAATGCCGGCTCGAGGGTTAGAAGGCTACGTACGTCGGGACGCTGGGTAGGGCACAGGCGGCTAGAGTTTGCGGGAGGGGTCCTGGCAGGAGGCATAAATTTGGGAGCTGCCTGCCTTTGCTGGTAGGCACAGCAGGAGACTGGAGGAGATCCCAGGAGGGGGCGTGGACAGAGAGGAGAGAGCCGAGGGGTGAAGCTGGCCCGTTGGGAATCAGCAGGGGAGGGTGAGGAAGGAGGGCCAGGGGTGGTCGCGTCCTGGGAGCCAAGGGAAGAAGGTGAACGAAGAGGGAGAGAACTATTCAAATCTATCCTAGCTCCCTGTTGCTGCTGCAACACATGACCATAAACTGGGCTTAAAACAACACACAGGGCTTCCCTGGTGGCACAGTGGTTGAGAGTCTGCCTGCCGATGCAGGGGACACGGGTTCGTGCCCCGGTCCGGGAAGATCCCACATGCCGCGGAGCGGCTGGGCCCGTGGGCCATGGCCGCTGAGTCTGCGCGTCCGGAGCCTGTGTTCCGCAACGGGAGAGGCCACAACAGTGAGAGGCCCCCGTATCGCAAAAAAAAACCACCCCAAAACCCCCACACATTTATCATCTTACAGTTCTGGAGGTTCGAAGTCTGACGCGAGCCTTACGGAGCTAAAAATCAAGGTGTCCACAGAGCTGGTTCCTTCTGCAGGCTCTTTTCCTTCTGCAGGCTCTTTTCCGTCTCCTGCAGGCCCTGCATTCCTTGGCTGGTGGCCCCCTCCTCCATCTTCTAGGCGCACACTCCATCCTGCGGCTCCTGTCACATCTCTTTTTCTCCCTCTGCCTGCATCCTCACATCCTTCTCCGGCTCTGTGCCTCCTTCCTCCCTCTTATGAGGACCCTGTGATGACACCGGGCCCATCCTCATAATCGGGATAATCTCCCATCTCAAAAATCGTAACGCAATTGCATCTGCAAAGTCCCTGATGCCATGTGAGGTGACCCAGTCACCGGTTCTGGGGATTCGAGCTTGGACGTCCTCTGCCCCCCCATGCAAAATACATTCACCCCATCCGAAGGTCCCCCAAATCTCAACTCATTACAGCATCAACTCAAGTCTGAATCTCATCCAAGTCTCCCCAGCTCAGAAATTTCAAATCTCATCATCCAAATCATCTAAATTAGGGGTAGATGAGGCCAGAGAGGAGGAAAACAGCGTTGGCCGGTGGACTTCGCAAAGGGAGGGGCTCAAACACTGCCCTCCTTCATCAGAAACGTCCCCACTCGAGGCCTCCCGGCTGGGGGCGCCGGGCCCACCCTGCCCTGCTGCCACCCCTGCCCAGGACAAGAGGCCCCGCCTTTTCGGCCCAGAGATGCACCCATCTCCGAATCCGAGCCTACGGTCACCGCGCGCCCGCCGCTACCCGCGGAGACACAGAAACGCCGAGTCCCCCGGGCCGCCTAGAGCGTCCCGGAAGTGTCTGGGGGAAGGCGGAGCGGCGCGGACCGGCGGGGGGCGGGGCGCTTCCGGCCGGCGGTGGCGGCTCGGGGTCCGCACGTGAGTGGCGTTCAGGCTTCGCAGGTGAGTGGCGTTCAGGCTTGCGGGGGTGCCGGGCGGGGCCCGGGGCCGAGCTGCTGGTGCGGAGCCTCCCCCGGGCCCCCGAAATCGAGCTGGTCTCTCCGCAGCCTCCCTCCGAGCCTGGCCGGGGCTTCCCCCCGAGGAAGGACCAGCCCTCGAGGTCCCTTCGCCAGGAAGGAGCCGGCCTGAGACCTGGCTGCTTTCTTTTCTTTTTGGTTTTTGCCTTTCTGCCCCAAACGTGGCCTCCGGCGTTAGAAACTCTGTCAAAACAAGCCTCTCCCCTAACCCGAGCCGTCCCCCTGCTTCGGGCTGCCCACGGCCCCGCACCTGCGCCCACGAAGGAGGGGTCTGCGTGGGTAACTAACTGCCCGCCTCCCCTCTCTGCAGGGTGCGCACCCCCATGTCCGCCCCTGACCCAGGACCCCTCCCCATACCCTCTTGCCCCTCAAGACTTAATCCAGCCCTTCCTCGGGCCGGAACACTTGTGTCCGGAGTATTTTTCTGATAGTCGCCCCGCTCCCCACACACGCACGCCCTTGCACACTACTGGCTACTGCCGAGGAAACGTGGTTTCTCACATCCTCCTCCTAAATTCCTCAAGCTCTCCTCTAAGGAAGAGCGTCTCCCCGCCTACAGGAAGGGGTAGAATGCAGGTGGTGCCCCACTCTTCTCTCTCCTGCCCCAACTCTGCCCCTGTGGCCCAAGAGGGTATCAGTGGCAAGGCTTCAAACCGTTTTAATTTTTTGGCCGTGTTGTTTCCTTTTGGTTTAAGAAATTGTTTCAGAAGCAATATCTGAATTTCACTTTTAAAGGAAGTTTTTGTCTCTCCAGCGGGACCGGTGTTTCCATCTCCCTTGTATCAGGCTCAGATGTGAGGAAGCGTCCACAGTGAGCCCGTGTCTGGCGCTGAGCCTCCTCCCGGTGCCACGGCTGGCCCTTCCTCCTGCCTTTTGTGCTTGGAGTCAGTCCCTCGCAAGTGACCGGGGGTCCCCTATTTCCTCCTGGTTTTTATGGTGGTTTTATATTAAATGTTTCCTTAAGGATGGATTATGGCCTTTAGTTCCCTCTGCTCTCCACAGGGCCAAGCAGTGCACAATCACACTGTCCCCCAGTAAATATTGCGTTAGCTGAAAAGGTCGTTCGGGATTTTCCCTAGCATCTTATGGAAAAGCCTGAACAAACTTTATAGCCAACCCAATAGGATGAAAATAGGTCCCAGCAGGCTCGGCATCCGCACTTTGCAGACCAGGAGACTGACTCAGAAGGGTTAAATGACGTACCTTGGGCTGGCTGCTGACATGCCTAGGATTTGTCTTTGGGACTCTTGCTACATCTGAATAAACTTCATTTCTGTTGAGCTGTGGTCTCAAGGGGCTACCATTTTATGTTGCACACGTGAGTAGTCCTGTGGCCTCACCCGTGGCGTGAAGTTGGACAGAGCCGAGTGTGAGGGTTTGGGAGGGAGGTGAGGTGGGAGTTGCTGCCTTTCCACGCTGGGACCTGGCGACGGATGCTGTCAGCTGCCTGTGGTGCTGCCTCGGTGACCGGGTGAGAGGGAAGCCAGGGGACACAGCTGGCCGGGAGGGAGAAGACAGGACTCGTGACAGACACGCCACACGGCCCGAGCAGACCAGCCAGGGCTGGTCAGTGTGGGGATAACAGCTCTTCACTCCTCAGGGGCTGGAAGAAGTTGGCATTTACCAGGTGACACGTGACAGGGCTGTGATTCTCACAGGCTGCCTAGGTCAGCCAGGACCATCTGCTAAGTCCTACATGTCTGCTCCACGGAGCAGGGAGGGGTGGGGGGCGTTTGGGGAAGTCGTCATAAAGGGATGGACATGACCAGCTGGAAGGGACCGTAATGACCCAGATCTTTATGGGGATGAAAGGTAGGTGATGATGAAAGACAAGTTAGACCAGAGCTGTGGGGTTTATATAAGGCACTTTTCTTTATGTTCTCTTACTAGCTTTAACCAAAGACGTGTATGTCAACTTAAACACGAAGTTTACTCCTTACAAGTTTACATAACTGATGCAGGAAGACCACCCTGCTCCCAGCGGGGCCAAAAGACAGTTCTCATATTTTTGTTTCCAGCATGAATTAGTAATTTATTCATAGAGTGTTCTTGATCAACGAGTATTCAGGAAGCCTGCTCTGAACTGGCCCTTTCCAGTGTCCTGTGTGTGTGTAAGGGAGGGAGAGTGCGTGTGAGTGTTGTTTGCACGCTCACGTGTGACTGTGCGTCCAGAGGCATCCTTGGCGTCTGAGCATGTCGCTGTGGGGACCAGTAGCTGAGAGACTGGCAGCCCCTCTGGGAGGAGCCCGAGGCCTACCAAGGCCTGGTTTTCTAGAAGCAGTTTGGGGCCTGCTGTCAAAGAGAGGGTTTGAGGGGACCTTGTTTCAGAAGAGGTTTGCAGGTTCCTCAGCCCCGGAAGTCTAGAGGAATCCCTGCCCCCTGCAGCACCTCCATCCCCTGCCTTAGCCGCCCTCAAAAGAACAAGGGCTTTGTGAAGGTGGATAGGTCAGGTGGGCCGAGAGCAGCTACAGCGGGAAGGTTGGTTCTGGAGGTGGGACGTGGCTCTGAGGTCGCCCAGCGCCTATGGCTTCCTTGCTTCGTCCAGTGGCATCGCCCTTGGCGTTTTCCCGGGAGGCCAGGTTGCTTCCAAGAGAGCCACTTTCAATTTGGAGCCGTAGCGAGCGACTCAGAGGTCACTGTGGAAGCTGAGAAGTGCCAGTGTGCCCAGCGCGCCAGGCAGCCCCCCTCCGCCGGGCAGGCCTCTTCCCTGCGCCACCTGCCGGCCAGCTCGCGTGTTCATCGCCTCCACGACACCGCCCCCTGCCGCTCCCCAGCACGTCGAAAGTAGCGGATGTGCCTACGGTGGTCGAGGCACGGGCTCCGTAACGTTTTTCTTTCTTCCCCCTTTTGCTTTCCAGCTGCTAAAGCACGATGTGCGTGAGAGAGGCACCCACGGCTCAGACGGTGAAATCTCGATTTGCCGGAAACCAGCTCCCGGGGCCCCTTTACCTTCCGGTCCGTGTTTGAGGGGAGAAGCTGCCACCGTCCCTGCAGAGAAGGCTGGAGGTTCCAACCGTGGAAGCCTCGGGCGGCTGACACTCGTCCCCCCTGCAGAGAGGGCCGGGAAGCTGCCCGAGCCGAGAAGGGGCCTTGGCTCGTGGCGGCCCGCATCAGCAGGACGCCAGTGGGCGAGGGAGGTGGGAGGGGAGGGAGGCTTGGAAAGGCCTCCAGTACTGGCTCAGGTGCGACCCCTGTCGGCCGGGACGAGCCCCCTCCTCATGGCCTCCAAGCCGGCTGCCGGGAGGACCCCGGGGGAGAAGCGCAAGAGGGTGGTGCTGACCCTGAAGGAGAAGATGGACATCTGCCGGCGCCTGGAGAAGGGGGAGAGCAGGAAGGCGCTGATGCAGGAGTACAACGTGGGCATGTCCACCCTGTACGACATCAGGGCCCACAAGGCCCAGCTGCTCCGCTTCTTCGCCAACTCCGACTCGGACAAGGCCCTGGCGCACCGGCGCACGCTGCACACGCCCAAGCTTGAGCACCTGGACCGCGTGCTGTACGAGTGGTTCCTGGTGAAGCGCGCCGAGGGCGTGCCCGTCTCGGGCCCCATGCTCATTGAAAAGGCCAAGGACTTCTACGAGCAGATGCAGCTGACCGAGCCCTGCGTGTTTTCTGGCGGCTGGCTCTGGCGTTTTAAGGCCAGACACGGCATCAAGAAGTTGGACGCGTCCAGCGAGAAACAGGCGGCCGACCACCAGGCTGCAGAGCAGTTCTGTGGCTTCTTCCGGAGCTTAACCGCCGAGCACGGCCTGTCCCCCGAGCAGGTGTACAACGCCGATGAGACTGGCCTCTTCTGGCGCAGCTCGCCCAGTCCCAGCCCGGAGGGCGGGGCGGTGCCCGGCCCCAAGCAGAACAAGGACAGGCTGAGCGTCCTCATGTGCGCCAACGCCACGGGCTCCCACAGGATCAAACCCTTGGTGGTCGGGAAATGCGGCGGCCCCAAGGCGGTCCAGGGCATCCAGCACCTGCCTGTCGCGTACAAGGCCCAAGGTAACGCGTGGGTGGACAAGGAGATTTTTACTGACTGGTTCCATCACATCTTTGTGCCCGCGGTGAAGGAGCACTTCCGAGTCGTGGCTCTGCCCGAAGACAGCAAGGCCATCCTCCTGCTGGACGGCTCCCGCGCCCACCCGCGGGAGGCCGACTTAGTTTCGGAGAACATTTTCACCATCTTCCTGCCCGCCAGCGTCACCTCCCTGATCCAGCCCATGGACCAGGGCATTCGCAGGGATTTCATGAGGAACTTCGTCACCCCTCGCGGCACGCTGCAGGCCTTCACCCCCCGATGCAGCGTGCACGACGCCGTGCTTGACGTGGCCTGCGCCTGGAACGCGGTGCCGGGCGCCGTCTTTAGCCGGGCCTGGAGGAAGCTGTGGCCCGAGGTCACGCTCGTCGAAGGCTCGTCTTCAGAGGAGGAGCCCGAGCGCCTCAGGACGAAGCCTCCCGACCAGACCTTCGTGCACATCCCCGGGCTCGGGGGAGGCGCCCCGGCCCGCCTTGGGAGCGCGGCCACGGGGAGTCCCGAGCTGGCCGAGGCGGGGGTGGGTGACGAGGCGGCCTGGGAGCAGGCGGCTGCATCCTTCGACGCCGTGGTGCGCTTTGCGGAGGGGCAGCCCTGCTTCTCGGCCCAGGAGGTGGGCCAGCTGCGCGCGCTGCGCTCCGTGTTCGGCAGGCGGCAGCAGGCGCAGCGGTGCAGGGCCCTCAGGGCCGCAGTCAAGCTCGAGGCGCCCTGGGAGCACGCTGGGCCTCGCGGCGCCCCGCCTCGCTCCCCTCTGCCCGGCTCGTCCACAGCGGGTGAGGCCTGAGGCAGCGGGGCCCGACCTGCGGTCTCAGGGGTCACGTCCCTCAGGACGGCCCACCCCGTCCGGGTTTTACCGTGTGGCCTGTCGTGCCACATGGGTGCCAGTGGGTCTTCCTGAAGGGCCCACCCAGACCCAAAACGTACCGGAGCCTCCGGTGGCCGGAAGCCAGCCTCGTGTTTTCTGGCTGAGCCTTGCTGTGTCCGAGGGTGGAGATGTCTCTCTGTCCAGGTGGGGAAGAGCCGCCTTCAGCCGACCAGTGGCGGTACCCGCTGCCACTTGACTGGGCTGGTACTTCCTGTGGCCCACCGCTCCCCTTCTCCAGGACTCAGTCTGCTGGTCTGGGGGCCGGCCCTGAGTCGGGCAGTTCACTGAGGGCGGGACTCAGTAGAATAAGAGTCGGTGTGGGCCCTGCCTGTGGCTCTGCAGGCCACACGTCCCCCTTCAGTCGTGAGCTCACGTAGCAGCACGAGTTTCTCCATGCTGCCAGCACATCCCGCCTCTCAGGCTCAGACCCCAAGATGCAGCAGGCTGCGCGCCTACTTGATGTGGTAGAAGTGCTCCGTTAAAGCCAGCAGGAGCGGGCGGCTGGGCCCGTCACCCCAACGTGGGGCCACAGGGCACTGCCAGTGTGTCGAGCATCTTGGCTCCGAGTCCAACCTACAGGCCTCATCCCCCATAATTTCACCTTTACAGCCCCTGCATTAATAAACTTTGACCAGATGTTCAGAAATTAGCCTTAGGCGATATAACAAAAACAGTAAAGCTCGCAGCTGAGCTGTCTAGCAGGATTTGAACTCCTGTTTTCAGCTGTGGAAAGCTGGCTGTGCTGGTGGTCTCGCAAAGGCCGGTCGCGGGATGGCGCGGCTGTGTTTCCTGTGTTGCAGCTGATTCCCACGTTCTGCCATGTCGCTCATCAGCACAGCCGTAGGACAGAGCCCCTTATCGGCCGTGGTCGCCCTCTTCGAATGTACGTGAAATGGGTGAGCTTTTCTGTGCTCTTTTCACTGCTTCGCCTTCAGTTGCATCCCCTTCTTGGGTAGCTGAATCGGCACGTAGTTTTCATTCCTGTGTTTGTTGCGTGCCGAGAGCCCTCCGTGAGAGCCGAGGAGAGCTGAGGGCTTGCTTCGCAGTCGGCTCTCTGGTGTTTCTACATCTTTCCCAGCAGTGCGGTGGCAGTCACGGCCGGCCTGGCGCTGCTCTAGTGCGGTGGCAGTCATGGCCGGCCCGGCGCTGCTCTGTGGACCGTGCGTTTCCTGCTTCAAATGCGGGTATGAAGATTGTGAAACAAGCACAGATCGTTTTCACAATGTCGTTGCTGATTCTTTGGGCCAGATTGCCTCCTGCTGTGTTGTCACATCGGTTTCCTTCCCGTGTTTGGGGCGACATCTGTGCACCATGTACTTCTGTGCCACTTTTGGACTCCTGTGTGTCCCCTGTGCGGTTGAATTGCAGCTGCTTGAGGTGTTGACAGGGTTAGATGTCAGGGGCGGCAGCGTGGAGATGGACAGACACGCGGAGAAGCTCCCTCCCCACTGTCAGCCCCTCGACCCCAGCCCAGTGGTTCTGGAGTAGCGGGACTGTGCTGGGGGGGGACGGCCCCCCGTGGGTGCTCTGTCCCCACCAGACTGTAGACCCCAGGCGACCCCTGTCCTGCCGTCACAACCTGCCCCGTCCTGGCCGTGTTGTGGCCAATCAATGAGCACTCGTCACTGAGGGAGCCTGTGCTCCTTCCAGGACCAGACACGCCCCCTGTGCTGCGTTGTTCTCCAGGGGCAGGACTCGGCCCTGCCTGCTTCCCTCTCCCCTAACGAGCCGGCACGCCCCCTCCTCATGGCCTCAGTGCTGGAGATCCTGGGCGGTGCGAGGTTTCTCGGGGTGCAGACTGAGGTGCAGCGTGAGGTGCACGTGCCCGGGGAGGACCGGAGCCCAGCGGCGCCCAGCTACCCATGGGTGCCCCCGCCTCTGCCCCGCCCCTGAGTGCCCACCCCTGGGGCTTTGCTCTTCACTCACCATCCAGTTTCTGAGAGCCTCAAGGGGTCAGAATGTTCTGGTCTCAGAATCTTTCCTAAACAGTCTTAGGGGGCCCCACTGGACTGGGTGCGAAATCGGAGCCGAGTGGGAAGGCCTCCTCATCTGCCCGTGCATCGGCCCCTCTGTCTCCTCTCCTGAAGCCCCCGGGGGCAGTGGGGTCTCCGTCCTGCTGGCAGAGCCTCTTCCAGGCCCCCTGCTCACCCTGCAGGGGCAGCGAGCTCAGGCACAGCGGGAGTGGTGCACACTCCTCCCACCCCAGGCAGGCAGCACCGGTGCCCTGGGATAAGCCCAGGAGTCGTCCCTGTCGGGACTCGGCGGGCCCCTTCCGGTCTGTTTGCCCACCTTGACCTTCCCCCTTCTCGGTGGTCAAAACGACTTGGCAGACCCCGAGCTGGGAGGAAGCTGCCTGCGGCCGCACCGTGTCCTCAGCCTCTCCTTCCCTCTGCGGGAGGAATCGGGGCGTCCCCGGAGCTGGACGGGCAGCAGGTGCCACCCCTGCCTGTGGTGGATAAGGGACCGTTCCTGGGCACTGCCCGCAGTGCCGGGATCCAGGGAGAGGAGACCAGAGTCTGCTGGGAGGCCTGGGGCCCCCGACTCAGGACAGGCAGCCTCCGCCGGGGTTGCCCCTTGCCTGAGCCTGGCCGAGCAAAGGCTGGACTCGCAGGTTGTAGATGGAATTCAGGCATCTGCCAGGGGCTGGGTGGGTCGGTGGTCCTTCACAGTCTCTTTTGCTTTGGATCCGCTGCCTGCAGTGCCTGCTCCCCAGTGCTGGGGGGTCTGCAGGCGCCCCAGGTTAGACCCACGGTGTGGGAGGTCCTGGAGGTCCTCCAGTTGGGGAAGGCTGAGCCTGCGTAGGGGTCTGGGGTGAACTGCCCCGCCTCACCAGTGTTTCCTGCGGGCGGGGGGGGGGGGGGGGTTGCGGGGGGAGGCAGCTGAGGCCCTGCCCTGGGCGTGTCCACGTGGTAGCACTCACACCTCTGGTGAGCCAGGTGGTGGGGTAGGGGGGATTGGAGGGTGGGTGGGTGGAGGGCAGATGAATGAAGAAAGGAAGGCAGGCAGTTGCAGCCTCTGCTTGGACCTTTTTGGGCCAGGATTACCCAGGTCGGAAGGCAGAGCCCTTTGGAGGCAGCTCGGGGCCACCGTAGCCAGATGTTTCTGGAGGGATGGAGGTCGGCGGCAGGGACACACGCTGCTTCTGTTCCTGGGAGGCTGTGGCACAGGGGCAGCAGCACTTCGGGCAGACAGGCCCCGCGGGGCAGCCCCAGGAGGGAGGCGTCCGCAGGCGCCGGCGCCAGTGGGTTTTCTTGGTTCGTAAACGTGCTTCCGTCTCATCCACGTGTAGCGTTGCTCAGCGCCTGCGGCGTGCTGGGCATTGGGCTCATCCACGTGTAGCGTTGCTCAGCGCCTGCGGCGTGCTGGGCATTGGGCTCAGCTTGAGGCCAGAGGGTGGTCAGACAAAGTCCCTGTCCTGCTTCCAGGGAACACAGGTCTCCCGAGAAGGGCTGCGGGGGCGGCCGCCCCGTCCGGCAGTTGCTTTCCCGGGTTGCAGCCGCCGTGTCCGTGAGGACGCGGGGCACGTTGCTGAGGGGAGCCCAGGTTGTGTGTGAGGGTGCTTCACCTGCGTGGCAGGCCCGGGAGGCCTGGATTGCTGCCCCTTCCACCTACCACTCAGCTCCGGAAGCAGGGCTGTCACTCACCCCCAGCCCCAGAACTGTGCGCAGAGGTTCTTCCCGGGGAGGAGCGGACCGTGGGACAGAGCTCCTGGCCCCTCTGCTAAGGAGCTGACTTGGTTTGCTGCAGAGTGTGGAGAAGTGCAAGCCTGAGGCTGCTCTCAGAAACCGGACGTCGTGGAGAAAGGCCAGTGGGAGGAGGTTGATAGATGTACTGGTGATGCAGGCTAAACTGTAGGCTGTCTGTGGGTCAGGGAAAAAATCTCAAGCACTGAGCTCAGTATCGATTCCTTCAAAGGAGCCAAATTTGACTGGATTGGTCTGAGAAGCAGCGTACACCCAGGGCGTTGTTAAAAACAACAGAGCAGCCGGCCAGCTGTGAGTGGAACTTAACAGCTGGCTGTGGGCAGGGGCCACACAGAGCTTTGGCAAAACCACTGCCATGGGGTGGGAGGTGGGCGGAGTGGGGGCCTGCTGGAGGCCGCACCCCTGAGAAGGAGCATGGGGGCTCCGTCAGGGGCTGCAGGGGAGGCACTGAGGTGACCCAGCCAGCCAAACATGAAGCAAACAGATCACAAGTCCCAGTTTGGGGTGACCAGTACCCGGAGCTGGTAGATATATGTCCTAAAAGGATCCGTTTCCAACCAAACGTTATGAACATGCAAAGAAACAGGAAAATACGGCCACATACCATATTGTTACCAAAAAGCAGGCAACGGACACTGCCTCAGGGAGTGAGATGTTGGATTTAACAGGAAAAGACTTCCAATTGGCCTTTACAAATGTGGTCAGAGAACAAAAGGAAACCATGATTAAAGAAGTAAACGGGGAAAAAAGAAAGGAAGGTATCAAGAAGAGAGTATCTATAAAAAGATTATAAACAAAAAGTTACTTTAAAAAACCTGGAGGGACTTCCCTGACGGTCCAGTGGTTAGGACTCCACGCTTCCACTGCAGGGGGCACGGGTTCGATCCTTGGTCGGGGAGCTAAGATCCCACATGCTGCGGGGCGTGGTCAAAAAACAAACACACCCTGCTTCTGTGACCATCTTATTTTTATTTTTTTGCAGTACGCGGGCCTCTCACTGTTGTGGCCTCTACCGTTGCGGAGCACAGGCTCTGGACGCGCAGGCTCTGGACGCGCAGGCTCAGCGGCCATGGCTCACGGGCCCAGCCGCTCTGCGGCATATGGGATCTTCCTGGACCAGGGCACGAACCTGTGTCCCCTGCATCAGCAGGCGGACTCCCAACCACTGCGCCACCAGGGAAGCCCTTCTGTGACCATCTTAAAGGAAACTCAGCTATCTTAATTAAGAATAGACAGACGACACCTTAATACAAGTATTAAAAAAAAAACATTCCTCTTAAAAAAAAAAACAAAACCATGGAAATTCCAGAGTTGAAAAGTACAACAGATGAAAAATTCACTGGAAGGGCTGTACAGTAGATGTGAACTAACAGAAGAATTAGCGATCTTGATAGCGCTCGAGATTGATAGATTATTCCATTCAAAGAACAGGATGGAAAGAACGAAGAAGATGGATGGTCTCAGAGCCACGTGGGACAGTCTCACCCACTGCCCAGAAAGGAAGACCGAGGCGGGAGTAGCAGCCTGGTCCTCCGTCGTGGTTGGAGGTCGTGCCGCTGGGACCTCAGCCCTCCCGAGCCACCGCTGCTGCCTGCCGCCTCTCCTACCCAACCGGGCCTACGGGGGGCACAGGCCTTCGTGGGTGGACGTGGGGCCTGTCCCTGTGACGGCCCCATTTCACGGAGGGGTCCTGAGGCCTGCCCCAGACCGCAGACTTCCTGCTGTGTGACGCCCGGTCAGTGTGGCCACCGCTGTGGACTTTGGGCAGGAGGGGATTCTTGGGCAGTGCCGGAAGGGTGGGCTGGATACCCCAGGCTCAGTGGGGGAATGGCCACATCCCTCTTACACGTGCGCAGGCACAAAAAGCCCATCGCTACCGCAAAAAAAAAAAAAAAGGCAAGAAACAATCAGGCAAAAATAATTGGGCTTCCCTGGTGGCGCAGTGGTTGGGAGTCCGCCTGCCGATGCAGGGGACACGGGTTCGTGCCCCGGTCCGGGAGGATCCCACATGCCGCGGAGCGGCTGGGCCCGTGAGCCATGGCCACTGAGCCTGCACGTCCGGAGCCCGTGCTCTGCAACGGGAGAGGCCACAACAGTGAGAGGCCCGCGTACAGCAAAAAAAAAAAAAAAAAAAAAA